AGGCGTGTCCACATGTGTTTCGAAACATTATGTAGAATATAATATATAGTGTAACAGTAAGGAAACTCAAATACGTAAAATACGTAAGATGTTGACTTTAGAAACACTAAAATTTATTTGGCAAATATTTCAGCTACTCCTGTAGTCTTTGTCAACACTTGACATAAAATAAAAAAAATTATTAATTTCTTTTTTTTTCCAATTTCAGGCTCAAAATGTTCTTATTTCAGCCTTGGTGTATAAATTATGTTCTTAGGGGAAAAAAAGTGTATTTTTCAATAAAGTAAAAGGAAATACACAAAAACATTAGTTTATTTCTTGGAACATGAAACCATAAGCTGATAAGAAGACCTTGGAGCTATGTTTAACTTGTTTTCAACTGTTGGAATGTGCCCCCTGCCTTAGACCCTTGAGAGTAGGCAAACAAAAGACCAAGGAGCACATACCAAGGTCATTGTTCATACAAGAACAAAACATTGGAAACATAGGCCTGAGATGCAGCATTCATTGTTAATCTAATAAATTTACCATGGTACTAACTAAGACAAGAACACTGAGAAACAAACAAGTTTGTCGGCACATAGTGGACTTAACTAATTTTTCTTGAATTATGTAGGCTAGTAAATATATTCTTATAATTAATGAGTCTCAGTGCATATTTGACCATGAAAAGGAAACTTGTTCTAAAATATGTTGTAAGAGATATGTAGGCCTATATTATCTGAATGCCTGACTTATTTCTATTGGCATGTTGAGGCTGTAACGTTACCGATGATGAATTAATAACCTGTCTTTAGCAAGTACTCATTTACTACTGTCGACAGTTTGACTACACTTGGACTTGAGTTATCTTTATGTTCAATTGCACACCATCAACTCTCTAGAATCAAATCTCAAAGGATGTAGAAGCAAAATGTAAGGAATGCTTTGCCCAACTTTAGCATCAATTCATTCAATTTCTATAGGCCTATCACCCATCTCTATAAAGTATTACTGGAATTTTTATGTCAATTCTCATCTAAATAAAAGTTCTACTCCAGGATACTACAATAACCCAAAAACAACAAGAGATACTGTACAAACAAAAATTGTATGTATGAACAAATAAATATTCAGGAGTGGATTTGCATGTACAGTATGCTCAAACTGAAATAAAATGTAAAACAATGAAAAAATGATGTACAATCATTGAAGGTTGACTTGTGGAACACAAATTTATTAAAATATAACAAAATCAAACGGATATTTCGATAGCTCCTGCTATCAACGTTAAAGAGAGGAAACTTGTGAGATTTTACATAAGAAATGGTAGTAGCCAATCAGAACCAGGTTAAATATAGTTTGGTGACAAGTTAATAAGTGGATTATTTAAACCATAACAAATAGATACAGTAAGCAATATCCTTTCAAAATGACAATGGGGTTTTCAAATTTAATAATGCTGATCATAGTTAATTCAAGATTAACAATGTTGTTATTGTGAAAAACAGCCTATAAAACATACATCTATTTATAGAATTTATTGGGAAATTATACAGTAAAGCAAAGAGAAAAAAATGTCATACCTGTATTTTAATAATAATCACTTATCTAAAAACAAGTTTGTGCACTAAATGAATGATATTGGTTTATTAATTCTTAAACATTACCCGAGTCGACATTCGAAGTATGTCCCCTTGTTCCCATCTAAAAAATACTATGGCAACCCAGCATGTTATATCACACCATTTCCAAAATTAAATCGGTTTCATAGAAACTTGCCCTTGAAAAGGCTACAGGTTTTTGGATCTTTGTGCACACAATTGGTGTGTTTCATTCATAAAATTGTATAATGACTTGTAAAATCCCATTTTCAATAATGTATTATTGTAGAAGAGATGGGCCTATGAAATCAGGGTACCTTTCACTGTTAAATGATACCATGTTCTATACTTGTCCAATGACTCATTAAGAAAAACCAATGTCTAGGCTAAGCGTGGTGTACAATTATTTCAAATTCCTTACGCTACGCTGAATTCAAAGTGATTGTGAGGCATGACAATACAATTATTGATGCACTGCCGGTGTAATGGTACGGCAAGGGAACACCCTTTTTGTGTTCACAAACAGCAACAAAAATATTGAGCCTGGTACTGGTGACAGCATATTACTCACCTGGATTTATCAATAATGAAATTTGATTATCATCATTTTTACTGGAAATTTTTATATTTAATGAATGGATGGTTGTAGTACAGTAAGTATGGAATGGACATAATATAATCAATTACTTCTGTGACTCACTATGTTATTATAATAAACAAAATTGTAGGCTAACTCTTAATCTACAAAAAAGAACCCCTAAATATTCAATTATATAAAAATTAAATTACTAATTAAAAAAATAATACGTATTTATAAATTAAAACAAATTTGACAATTGTATTGTATATCCTCAAAGAATTTCATCTATACCATACAAGTTTACTATACTAAGCCTAACAAAAAAAAATGATGTTTATGTTTAGAAACATCAAATTCTTTTATAAATTTTTATTTTATAATTTTTTGGGATATATCTGGGCAGTGATGAAAAATATCAGTTGCAACAAAAATAATAATGCTTTATTGTAAAAAACGATAGTTCTAGTCAACTACAGAAAATTATTTTAAGACTTTTTATTTGCTACTGTAATTGGAATACCTTCCTACACCTCGTTTATAGAATTAACACATTAAAAGATGATAAATTTAAGTCTTTTTTAATGTGTACAAGGTACAGGGTATGCCTAAACATACCTTGTACCATTACTCATCCACTAGACCTGGTTTGCATGATGTGTTACATTTAATTATCAGCTAATATTAAATGCATACACGATATTAATATACAATAGCATAATATAATTGAAAGTTAATTAGCATTTAATTTCATGGTCATGGAAACTTAGTTTGGATATTAAACAAATTTAAATGACAACAGTTGTTTAGATGATATAAAACATTTACAAATTTCAAAGAAAACCTGTACACAGCTTGGTACACCTAATTTGTTTTAGTGGAACACCTGTTATAAACCTTTGCATTATGCATGGTATTAATAGAATATCTTACCAAAACTCAATAACAATCACATGTGTTGCTAGGCTGCATCTATACAATAATATAGCATGTTTAAACGGCGATATCCTGCTACATTTTGGATGTTATGCAGAATTAAAAACATATGAAATTTGCAGATATTGTAGACAAGATTTTATCCATGGTCTTGTTTTTACTAACTTTAAACCCAAAATTTAAGTATAATTACTAAAATAATTATGATGCATTGCTCTTAAAAATTCAGTTATTTTCAGAAAACAATTATAGCCAAGATTTAACGTAAAGTAAATGGTTCTTGACAGGGCTTAAAAAAAAAAACGATGACCAGTGGATGGCTAAAGTAGTGGCCGGCGTTCATTAGGCATCGCAGATCTCCCCAGCAGAGCGTGGAATCATAATTATTTAATGCCTGGATGCAATATTTCTCTATATAACCACTGCTGGGCTATATAGTGTATAAATACAAGGGGAAATTTCATAAAAATAATTTTCATGATCAGTGGAATATGGAGTATTGACATATGTAAACTGATGGGAGTGCTAAATAGTAAGGTGGATTGTGTGAGGGTGAGCTTACTGACAAGAGCTAAACAAAATGCAGTGATTTTAAAGCACCTTAATCTTGAGTGTTTTTCTTTTGCTCACCAAATTTCTAGTGCAGGGCACATGTTTTTCAGTGGGGTGGGGGTTGGGGGAGGGGTTCTTACCTATTATCAAAGAGTATAAATAGAACAAGAGAGCCAACAACGCTCATTGAGAGCGTAAAAAAAACGATACGCTCTACGCAGCTAGTGTAGGACGCCAACTAACGCTTGTATGTGTTTTATTACCCAGTACTCCACCGTGCACAGTAGGTTTGTCTGTTTATCTGTTCTCCACAAAATACTGTACTTTTGTTTTCTGCTTACTGAGTTTATAGCGGGCGTACTTCTACCGCGCTGCGCAGCGCTGCACTGGGTAATAAAAAGAATATACAACCGTTAGTGAGCGTCCTACACAGGCGTGACGTTTTTACGAACGGGACTTTGCTCTCTTGTTCTATTTATACTCTTTGCTATTAGTATTATGCTCACCCCACCATGGCATAATAAAAATAGATACATCATCATGTTCATGCCATGGTCGAGAAACACATTTTTGTTCCAGGCCTGATTGGTTAATTAATATACATACTACTACAGTACTAGTATTGGTAACGTTATTTTTACATGTCTATGTACAGTACATAACCATCTCCCTGAACTGAGTGAATCCACCAAAGAATAAATTCAAGGTTGCTTACCAGCTCTCCTGTGGCTATTTCCCTGGCCAGCTTCACCTTGCCATACGTGCCTTTACCTAATGTACTTAAAAACTCAAACCGATGCTTAAGCTTGTGCCTATGCCTGTGTCGAACAGACTTTGTCCCTGTTGAATTGTCTACAGTACTGGATTTTAGGCCAAGTAGCCCATATCCATCTAGCATGGTGTCAAATGTAGGCATTTTCCTTATCAATTCTAAACTTCCACAACACCAACACGAGCAGGAAGGCCCGACCGAGATAAGGTCTCCTTCTGTGTACCGTTTAGTTCCCGTAGTAAATAACAAATCAACCGCACAGCGTAAACTCAAAGGTATTTTGCAGGAAAGTGGCTTATTTTCAGGTTTGTAAAGTAGAACTCGTATATCGAAAGCAAATTATAGTTTGATATCATTATTAATCGTTCTTCCAGTCATAACACATGTTCTCTCAACGCTATCTCGTTGCTAAATAACAACAAAATAGTTAGGCTCAAATACCGCCACAGTTTACGACGAGTTACCTGCGGAGAGAGATGACGAAACAGCAATGAACGCTAATCCACCAATCACTGGCAAGTATGCAAATTTAAATTCAGTTGTGTATGGTGAGTTTTCAGGAAAACTGAAACCAAATTGTCTTTTATCAAACTCAACTTGTCTATGACAAAATTAACATAAATAGGCCTATTATGAAAATACCGCCATCCAAATTTCAGAAAAACCTAAAAAAAAAAAAAAATGTGTATAGGCCTATATAAATATAAATGTACAATGAATTCCTAATTTCAGTATTTAGTCGCAGATGGAAACATAATCAGTTTCCAACTACTGTGTTAATTTTACAGACTTTTATTATGAACATTTATTAAACATTTGAATCAATATTGTATTTAAAAGAAACTCTTTATTTGAGTCCGCCCAGACTCTGGTCTTTAGTTTCATGAAGAGTGACAAAAGGTACCGTAAGCGTTCGTTCTCAGGGCCCCGCTCATCAGAGTGGTTTTTGATCAGGGAGATATTATAATACATTACAAATTCCTTCGTATGAGAACACATTTGGAACAAAATCACAACCCAAAACATCCCTCAGTGTATATAAATGTTTAAACTTCATTTTACGGTACACCATTTAAAATTTCCTCCTTGAGAAAAAAAAAATTGGTCTAAATGTTTTGAATTATATTTTTTCGCACATTTGGAAGAATTTTTAAAAGGGCATAGACATGAGAAGACATGTTATGTCGAAAATGACATTACAATAATAATAGCTTTTACGTTCACTCACAATAAAAGAAAACCGAGAAAAGTAGCAGTTATGATATAGGCCTATACTCGAGATTTGTGTAGGCCTACTATAAATAGTCATTCATGCAATAATTACGCACAGACAATAATAGAATACCGTTCGAATGGTCTGATTGAGACCTCTGAAAACCCGACCTACACAATGGCAGTAAGCCTATAATCTCAAAATACAATACACCCGAGTTGCAATATTCTTACTCATTAATTTATATATAATGCTATTGTACAATGTTAATGTTATAACAATGAAACTCTTCGTCATTTGAGCACTTAGTTCCGTGTCTGTCCTACTACCCATTGTGTTTTACAGTAACCCGGATGTAGCCTATATTATTGCGAGAAATACAATTACACACGGTTATTGTTTTGAAAATGAAATAGTCATAAATAAATTAAACCATTACTTAAAATCAGTATAATACAGCACTATTATAGAATATAAGGTTCTGTTCATTGTCTACATCGGTCAATTAAGTTACTGTTTTGCTTCGGTTATACCAAGTACACCATCACCGTAACCATTTAGCTAACACATAGTTTTCTCTCAATTCACTGTATTTTAGTGATGTTTTTATAATTAAGTTTTCATATTCATTCCAGAGGCATACGCGCTTGTCTGCCTTTTATATCCCTCGTTATTAGTTTGTTTCGAATCGCAGTTTGTATAGAATCATTATAAAAATATTTTAAAGCCGTTTAAATAGGCCTACCTACGCACCTGCATGGCTGTTATATTTACTTGTAAATGTGTTATTCCATCTATTTATAGAACTATGATTTACAAAATGATTCATTAAATCATGGGGCCTATACAACCTGTAGGTAGGCAATAATATATTAACCTACTTTAATAGTGTTGATGATTTATGATTACTCTTAAAATGCATACTCGGTAGGAGAAATCATGGCGATGCGATTTTTATAAATGACGATCTCAATCCTAATTTTTGGTTCGTAACAAATATGGGTTAGACTCAATAGGCCTACATAATATGATACCGGGCTATTAACGTATTGTTCTCTAAGTTGCCTGTAGATGGTATTGTTGAACATTCATGTTAAAATTCTAATAATTGTTTATAAACAAAGCTTTATTTTTTATTTTTTCGAGTTTTCGTTAGTCGGCCCCTCGCGGGAGTTACAGTTGCTCATTGGTCTGTAATTTCATCCCTAAATTATTAAAGTGTACTGTATTTTACCATCAGTCTGTCATCATATACCTTGGACTAACTCCAGAGGGAAAAAATAGAATTTATACAAATTATAAATTATATTTCAAGAGATTGAAGGGTTGGGTGAAGAAATAGCTATTAAAAAGATACGGGTATCAGAATACTAAATACTTGAGAGTTTCCCCAGTTTTCTTAATACTGTATGCCTATTCAAATAATCGGAGGCCTAATATTTATTACTAATTAGGCGTTCCCAATAGGCCTAACTATTTTCTTAATCATCCTTTCAATGTCCTAAAATGTTCATTTATAGGCCAACAACCCTGTTAAAAGTTCTTTTTTTCTCCGGAATCTGACTTTAATGAAGGCTTAAGATAAATTCTTGTGATAGGCCTTCTGAACAACTTTTACAGGAAGTCAATAAGCGATCCGGAACTCATCAATTGATATGACTACTATACAGAGTAAATTCTAAAATTAAAAAAAGACTAACACCTTAAATAATACTTACCTGTAATTAAAACAAGGAGGTATTATATAATGCCTCTTTTTGTTAAATTGTTAAGCCAGGAAATTTGTTTCGATTGTATGAGAGACGTTTGTGGTGTGATGACCGCGCGAAGCGACTGTGTACTCAATCTAATTGTATAGGCTTACACTACCGGTAGTTTTGTAATATTAAAATTACGTCATTAATTAGCCTAATATTCAATTAAAAAGAAAATAAATTTTATTTAACGATATTAACAATCCAATTTGGAAAAAAAATAATGGGCATAAGAACAAGTTTTTACATTTTGGAAAACACGTTCATTTTACGGTAGGCCTATACTTCAAATTGGCATTTTATGATATCAATATTCTACTTGATCCATTCAGAGAATATTTTTGTGAAATTGTCAATTTACAAAATCATTAATATAAATAATAGAATTGAGGATATAAACCGTGAAACATGTTTCAACATTCTAAAAGACATTGAGTTGATATTCAGTAACGTATTTAGGCCTATTAATATCCTAACCAATGGTTTTGGACATCAGAAAACTTTTGTAGTATAGGCCTATATTATATATTTGTATATATTTTATATATTTGATTATGTTTTCATATACAATATTTTGATAATGAAAATATTAATATATAATAGGCCTATATAATAATTTATATATTGATAGTATTTTAATTTAGAATGCCAGCATATTTGTCTTCTTGATTTGAAAGGTTATGAGACAGAAAGTCGAATCAACAGCAGGTACATTGCAGCAATTCTTTTGCATATTATATTTATTTATGTATATTTTATTATGCTTTCATAAAGTATTTTAATAACATAATAGGGCCTATAATAATGTATAATATATAATATAGATATATTTATATATTTTATATATTTTATATTATATTATAAATAAAGTCAGCAATTCTTTGTCTTCTCCATGATTTGAAATGTTATGACGGAAAGTTGAATCGACAGGTACCGGTACTTTGCTAAAGAATTAGAATAAGCCGATGACAGTAAATCATCAATAAACGAATTGGAAATAAATAAAAATATAATTATAAATGTCGCAGCAACTACGAGTGATGGGTGATGATACCATCTAGCACCCTAGTTGTCCTTGAAGTAAGCTATCGTCTGCATACCAGTTTCAAATGTGACCGTGTATCGTCCTAGGTAAAATACACGGCACGCGGACACGCTACCAACCGCGCTCAGAGGGAAGGCTGCGGTAAATTAAAAAATGTGTCGGAACCTAGCGAGTTCCATCAAACAGACTAAAATAAACATTCAAAAGTATTCTATAAATAACTTTTTTGTTGCTGTAAGCGATGTTTGGAAATAACTTGAACTATTCTACAATATAATCGAATTACTAAAGATAGCTATGATCTAACCACAAGGGGAAATAATGTGGTTCAAATTAAGAGAACAGTAGGAACAATGGTCAAACGTCATGCAATAATAATAACAGTATGGAATATAATTTATTCTTGGTAGGGAAATACATGTAAAATGAATTAATTTTTTGTGCCCTTGAAAATTCTATTAGAATGCTACATAATAAACCTGCATTAAAATAAATGCTTAATTAAATTTGAAATTTCATAAGGCTTACCTCGACAGAAAATCAATAAAAATGAAAAGCAGAGGAATCGAGGAATTTCCTGGCGCTACTTTGAAGAAGATTTGACCTCTAAACTTCCTAGTACAGTTACTATTTTATCAGAACAATTATTTTAGGCCTAGGCCTAATGTTATTATAGTAAATTATGCAAGTAATTATTTTATTAAAGTTTCGTCTTCAAAAAAAAAAACAGCAAAAGTGATTACGTTCATTTAAGAGAATAAATTTATGAATATATTCTAATCGATAAAAAAAATTTCATGGCAGCAAATAAAAATTTAGACTATAGAGGCCATGTCTAGTTACAGGTGCTACGGTAATAATATTAATAATGTGAGTTGATGAATACTGTCCGCCGCAGATTACTTTCCTCAAGGATTTTAAATACCGTTGAAGTGCCAGAGTTAACGAATTTAATGAGTTTGTATGATTCAATCAAATTGAAATAAAACCGCATCAGTGTAAGCACGCGAGTATTTCATATTCACCTTGATTTATATGTAAAATACGATGAATCATCATTATCATCAAGTTACGGTAATTTTGATTGGCTTCTTTTTTACAGAATGTCAAGCGAAGGCATCTGTTAACTTTTAAGTATTTCAAATATCATTTAGAAGATAGACTCACTTTTTAGAATTATTACAATGATAATTCGACTGTAGTCTAAAATGGTGACCTTTTACGTAAAACCAACAGTCTGCTAAGACCGATCCCGTCTTCTTTCATTGTCATATTTCCGTTTATCAAAAGACCAGTGACATATCTAGGAGCCAGTCTGACAGGGGTACACGACAAGGGTGCATTGGCAACCCCACGGATGTTTTTAACAGACATCAAGAAATATGACGTTAATGGGCAAATTGACAACTGAAAAAGCATTCAATCGGCTAGCGGTATTAAACTCTGTT